AGCGGACCCACTCAAGCAATACTGTGGGATTCAATAACCTTCTGGTATCACTACGACCTATATGGAAAGGGCGTACTTAGCGCATTCCAAAAACGATTGATCAACGCCAAAAACTAACAGGTCACCTATCAAAAAGTTCATAGAACTAAAAAAAATGCTGAATGGACAAAATAAGATGTTGAGAGAAAAAGATCAAACCCACTTCAACAACGCATCCGGCTCACTGCTAAGTTTACTGCACTCAGTGATCACCTTCTTGAGCAGAAGGAACATATCAGCCGACGACGAAAAGGGCACAGCGTGGGTCGAGCACTCCCTTGACGGAACCTCTGCAGACGAACCAGACCTGTAGCAACAATCATCACATCGTGGAAACATTTGGACAGTTAATCAATGGGAGGGCTTAACATGTACCACGCGCTAGCAAAGTAACTTTGAATAAGCAACAAAAAACTCGACTTACCTAATCTTATTCGCGCAATCCTCCAAAAATTGATTGAGGGTTTTCTCCTGCGCACTTATGAAGACGTCAAGGAACGAATCAAAAACACTCCAAATCGCCTGAAAAGCTCCACTTGACCGCGAAGAACAGTGACTAGAAAAACTCACCTTATCAAAGTTGAAGTCAGGTTTTGATGGAAATCTCTTGATAAGCAGTGCTTCAAACATTCTAGTATGCTGAATAGCGTGACCAAGCAAACGAAAGTCCAAATCAGGGCGCCGTCGCGTCATCATGCGATACAGTACATCTCTGAAATTTTGTTCGTTGGTCCCATTCACGCAGAGATACAAGCGAAAAAAAATGGAAGAAAAAGCCCAAAATAGTAGAAACGACAAAATCTGGGTGTGTTATTCGAAAATAAGGAAAGCGACAAGCGAGGCCATGCAGCGAAGAACAATGAGAGGAAATGGTGAAAAGAGACGTAGGACAAGCAATAAAAAAAGCAAAGCAGATAGAAACGGAAAAATGAATGTATACATCCAATTACTTTTCCTACTTCCGGAATCAGAAAGAAGAATCTGATGTTAGCAGAATTGACAATAGTCCGAGGAAGGCAACCCACCTTGTCACATTGCAAAACTCTTTCGTCATTAATCGTCCCATATCCCAGTCCGGTGGGAACACTTTGGCGAGGCCAGTTCTTTCGAAGTCCGTAAGTTTACGAACATACCATTTATACCTGAAACACCTGAATGATTAGCAACATTCAACAAAGGTGTTCCCCCAATAGATTCCATTCCGCGTCGCAGCGACGTGTGAAGACATTTAAATTGAAGGAATAGTTAAAAAAAAAATAAACAAAAAAACTTCAAATGTGACGAACCTTTCTTCGATTTTATCTAACCATGCTCCTTCCTCATTTTCCGCATACAACACTGTGTACTCCGATAATTGTTGATCAATAAACCAGCGGCAGAAGTTCGACTTCACACTGCCTTCCAGAGCGGCTGCCACTCGACACATATCCGTTACTCGTTCACTCAATTGGCCAGCCTAACAATTCAAAACCAAAAAACCACTTCGAAGAACAATGGTCCCTAAAGCCGAATAAAGAAACAAGCAAGGGTACCTGAAAAACAGCTTTCATGTCACTTGCTAGCTGAACAGTAAGTGCCTGCTTTAGCTTATTCAATCTGTTCGTTATTTTCGCCATTTGCTCGACTTCTTGAAAATCATCGAACAATTGCAAAACATTGAGAATAGCCGGAAGTTGTCTGGCAATAGAAGCGTAGTCACGATGATCCACCCAGACGGCTAAACGGCTAGGATAACAATTTGTTAAAGAAAAACAAAATTATGTAAGAAGAGAACCACGGCAAACTCAATTTCGGGAAAGTATAGAAGATCGAAATAGAAAGAAACATTAGAAATCGGAATAGAAGAAAGAATAATAAGATAGGAAAATATACCTAATGAATCAACTCCAGTTAGCAGAATATGCAGGTGATGTAGGGTAGTGATAGATGACGTGAGATTTCTCTTGGCAATATCAAGTTGCTTGATATCTCCTTGTCATTTCTCGAACAATCTGAAATCGATAGAAACTGATGAAGGCAGAGGAGCAGCCAGCGATGACCATGTTCTAGGTAGATCTAGGGGAAATGCAATCGAAGAAGCTACTGGCAGCCTTCTGAAACCAGTGAAAACGAAATTAAAGCATTGCCACATAAGACCTCTACGATAAGAAATAGCAAAAGCAAGAAGCGAGAAAAAAAATTGGCAGATTGGCAGGACCTGCTCCAAATACAAAGCGGAAGGGCAACTCCTAAAGCTAGCGTGAGACTCTGCAGCCGTATCGCGAATCGTGCGACTGTCACAAAATCTGACATCTGCTCAAGGCGAACCAATAGCCAGTAGTAGTCAATAGCCAATCAGACATTAGTAACATTGTTTTCAGAAAAAGCTCTGAGCGAGGATGGTTCAAGTTATTGGGAAACCACAAAATTCAAACGTTAAAGTGAGAGTAGAGTCAGGTTAAAGGTGAGGGAAGCTGTAACTTGAGGGCAACTATGTGGAAAAATGGCAGCAAATAACGGTAGACCAAGGAAACAAAAACAACTTAATAGAAAATTCTCACAGCAACCTACCTCATCAGAAGATCTAGTTTTTCCCTCGTATACTGTCGATTCGGCGCTCCAGCTCGGACATGGCTTTTTGGGCCTATAAATAGTGATAAGTTTTTAGGGGGCATAAATAGTGATAAATGGACAAAGATTTTGGCACGGTTGCAAAGTCAACAAACATTTAGATGATAGGGCATAATTTTGGGGCCTAACTAATTTGAAGCACATCGGATCAAAACATCAAACGAAACAAACGTACCTCTTGTAGAGCAGCTTCACCTTGTGCCCCAACCTCGTCATGTGATTCTACCAAGGCTGCCAGCTCCACGTCGAGATCGTGGATTTCAGATTCCACAGCAGCTAAATGGTGTACATTAGGTTTCTCAGCGACTCCTTATACATCATGTAGAATTCTAGGGCGCATGTCAATATGTCGGGTCGAATCGATCGCCTGACGAAATCGATAGTATATCTATGGCTGCACGAGTGGTGACGATCTTAATAGAGCCGATGTCAGACTTTGCGAATCGCGCGATTCGCTAGCGTCCGCGGTCGCGTTGCGGTACCAGCCAATTGAGTGATTCACTGGCCGCGACGCGACCGCAGACGCTAGCGAATCGCGCGATTCGCAAAGTCTGACATCGGCCTTACAGTCGGACGAACCCGACTATGAATGCGCCCTTACCGAAAAACATAGCCCACAGAATCTTGTCTTACCTATTACAGTGTCCAGTTGGGCAAGTGATTGCTCTGTCGGAAACAGTTCATTAATCTGAGCTGTCAGTTCCTGATCAGGACGACAGAATTCCGAATGGCACATTTCTGAAATCATACAACTTTCACGTTAAACAGTTCCACGAATGCAACCTTGTGTGCAATGAAAAATATCCTTAGTTTGCTCAAACAAAGAGAGTTGCTCCAGAAACGAGTCTGGGGGGACTCGCGGCGGTGCCGTTCGTCTCAAAACGCAATGGTCACAAAGCATTGAGCTGTAGAAGGAGCCAAAAGCCAAACGACAAATCATTGCTCTGATGTCATTAGCCTTAAACGGACTCCTACTGGGCTCACGCTATAGATCCCCATCGCGCTTGAAAACACCGCCGCTGCGTGGTCCCCCCCCGCACTCACTTAGCACCAAAAAGTCATAAAAGTCAAATACCTTTGATAGCCGCTTCAGTGGCAAGGCTGAGTTTTAACTCTTCTTCTTCCTCACCCATTCCAATGTCAATTGGTTTCAATTTACTGGCCTTATCCAAGTGAGATGCCATTTAAAATGACCTGAACACATTTGAGTTTTCAGGAATGCTTGCTGGCATAAATAGAAGCATCGACTGGCTCAGGGCGATGATTCAAAGCTGGCATAATTTTGAAGATTTGAGGCTAATTCTTTTGCTGCCAGGTGTAATGGAAGCTTAAGGACTACGGCTCTCATACCTCTTTTGCTTTTTGGTACTCCATAATAAGCTGTGCGCAAACCCCGGGTCTATTCCAGTTTGGGGGCATCATGGTGCAGTTTCTTCCAGAAAGCTAGGGTAACTCCGGGCCAGAGGAAGTGTGGCCAGTCTAGGAGGGTGGGGGGGCGGGGGTGAGGGCAGTCAGCTTGACATGCGTGAAAAGCTGGAATGTCGAGTTCACACTAATTCGCCAAAGAAGCTGCATCATGATGCCCCCTCCCCCTCCTAACTGGAATAGACCCCAAACCACTTTTAGTAGTGCGCTGCAGAGCCAGAAAAGAATAAATACACTTTAAAATTCAGTACTAGAAGTAATTCAAACCTTCGTTACCTGCCGTGAAAAGCTAGAATGAGACAAACAGCGGAGAGAGGCTGACCCAATTTCAAATGTAAACACAAACTGCTCACACCCCAAGCCATAAAATGCCACTCATTCACGTACAAAATAATTCCTGAGCACATGGGAGCCTTTCGGTTGAATGGAAAGCTCTCAGTCAAATTATCGTCCATTGAGGTGTATAGTCTACAGTTCACGTCCCATACGTGTTACTCTACGTCTAAATCAATAATGGCTTCTGCGGTGTTGATTGGCCGGTTTTTTCGTTTATTAGTTGTCAATGAAATATCAAGTGTTACAACTGCTTCGGGATTCTCCTTTCTTTAGAGAGATGCTTCAAAATTACAAGCTGCTATGGGTTTTACTTATACGTTATTTCTGTTTTTTTTTTTGTATAATTTATGTATGTGTTCTGTGTGGGGACATAAACTTCTGTGGAAAGTAATATTCACCGCGTGATTAGCTAGGACTGAACCTGGAAGAGGGAGGAAATTTTCTCTGAGTAAACGAAAAGTGCTTCCGAACCCGGGGTTTCCCTCCCTTTTAAGGCTTAGTCCCAAACCGTAGGAGAATATGCTATTTTTGGTTAAACACGTTGGCGCTCCAAATCGCACGCTCCATTTTCGTTTTTTCAAGAAATCCATTTTTTTCACTATTTATCATCAGCTGTAACATTTGCTAATCATTGCGCAGGTGGACTGTGAAAGAAAAAATCTGATCTACTGCGTGGCGTTCGGCTAAATTGTAAGTATATTGTTTAGCATATGTTGGGAAATGAAATTTAAATGTGCGATTTGTGGGAACGTGTTGGGAAAAGCCGATGGAAGAAGCTCGTCCCTGACGAAGAGTTTCAACATGATTCTGTTATTGTGTCACTCATTGGCCGGCGAACGGCATAGTGAAAGCGCACGTACTCTGGCTGAGTCCATTACAAGACACAACATAAAGATATGCCACGTTCACGCAGTTCACGCGGTAAGTGAAGTACGGTGAAAATTAGTTGGGGGGGGGGAGGGTCGGAGGAACCATATCTAATCGAGGTAGAGTGGCGGCTGCGACTCGGCCGGGACCAATGTAGGAGAGAAGAAGAAGAAGCCCCGCTTGCGGAAAGGCACTCATATTTTTGCGTAAACGGTAATTCTTCATATCTTCCGCTGAGACGGTGGCCTACGACGTTACGTCACACTTGTTACCCTTCTCGTGTTATATAGCGAAAATGGCTACTACATTGCTGACTGATAACTTCCAACAAATCTTCTTGCGATCGCCATGCATTCCCTTAGAGACAGATTCTCAGGTATCCGAATGTGTCCGGAAATCCCGGCTTGGTATCCCTATCTAATCGTACCCTCGTAGCCTCCTCTTGAGCGTTGGTTAGCGCAGGAATGCCCTTCCGCAACTCCACTTCGATTAGGTATTATGAATGCTTCCCCCCCCCCCCACCCAACTACATATTAATCATAGAATGCATTTGACACGTTTCTGTGCTGTACAATGTAATTTTCGTTGTAAACAGGCTCAATATTTGGCGGCAGAAATGGCGCTGGCCGGGAAAAGATTCTCACACTTCAGAGATCCCAAAGCTCATGGGCGCACAGCGTTTGTAACTGATCTGGACATCCCTAAAGATATAGTATCGGTTTTGAATACCTTGGCAAAAGTACGTTTTGATATTTATTAAAGCTTATTCTCATCATGTTGGCAAGTGACAATGTCTACGTGTTAAGGGTAGCGTCACGATCACACCTCGTGAAGTCAGCAAATTTCTCAATGATGCCCTGAAACGTTACTATTCAACGCCCTTCTGGCCCGTTACGGAACAGGTAGGAGCAAAACTTTAATTTGTATTAGAATTTTGTTAACCTTTTGCCCAGGATGATCGGGTCTACGTCAAAAGTGAAGTTGTCGAAGCTGAAGATGAATGGGAAGCAGCGAACGCAAGCACTGCCGCCGATGGGTCGACGGCAGAAGAGGATAACGAAGAACCCTCTCTTTGTCCTCCTGAAGTGGTTGGTGAAAGTGAGAAATCGACGTTTCACTTGTAAAATTGGCGTATTTTTAGAGTGCAAAGGACTTGCTAGGTGATGATCTGTCGGAGTGTTGCTCTGACACATTAGAAAATGCGTCGGAGAGCTCCAAGACGTCTTCATCTTTTTTCGAACCCGTGATCCGAAAGACTGATCCCGATGTGTTCGATCGGTATTTTCTTGTGAAAGGATCCCAGCTAATGGAGTTGTTTCAATTCTGTCCTCGATGTGGATGCCGATTGAATGGAACGGAATTGGTCGGTGTCGGTGTTGCGGCCGTTGTGAAATTCGTTTGCAAAGGGTGTAGCACTGATACACCAAATGTGCAATTGTGGAAAAGTCAAGAACTTCCAGTAAACCACTCTAAGGAGAGAACTTGAAGCATGTGAGTGAATCAAATATAATTTATATTCTCTGTATCTATACCAAGTATTTCGATGCGCAGTAAGCATTTCTCTTCACGATCTGTTTTTGATTGCAGTCCGATCTCTGTCGACATTCTACGCTGTCTTCGTTCGTTCTCTTAGAGGGTCTCTTGTAATTTGTATATACTGGTCTTTGAGTTTGGAAGTGATTTTGGTCAGCTTACGACATGGCTGCAAAGCTCATCTTGAGCTGACAATTTTTTACTCTCTCTTACGGGTTTTTAGGTGAGTCACGTTTACCGTCACGCAGTTTTTTTGGTGCACCTGTGCAAATCGAAGAAAGATGTGTGTTCAGGACGATTATGCTACTACTTGGAGTTTGAGTAGACGATATCCGCCTCAGGAGCTCACACTGAGTCAAAATACTGCTGGCGCATGGATTATTCTTGATGAATTGTTCTTGACGCGTGATCTATCCTGAGGTTTTGCAGGTGTGTAAAGTTAAACATTTCAGTACACAAGTGCCTTTTTGTTACCTGTATTAATTTATTGTTTGATTATTGTTTACCAGTTGGCGCCGCACGCATTGCGCGCACAACACAGATCTGCGGCGAATTTTGATGGTGCGACGAAAATTTTCAAATTTGGCTTGATACACCACGAATATCTGAATTCTCAGCTAAATTCTATCCGCTCCATCATCGACGGCTTTCAACCTCTTTTTCTTCGTCAACCATTATCCTCTTTTTCCCGGTCTCCGGACTGCTTCCGGACAATAAATCTCGTGGCAAACTCCGCCTACTTCGGTGCGTGCCCCGCCCACCAATAGCATTTGGCCCCTTCCTTTCGCCGACCTCTACCCCTTTTTCACCGGTCTCTGGGACCTCTTGGAACCAAATTACGACACTTTTGGCAAACTCCGCCCACTTAGGTGCGTGCTCCGCCCACTAATAGCAGTTGACCTCTTTTCCCTCGCCAACCTCTTAACCCCA